ACCCAGGCCAGTCCAGAAAGGAAGCCAGACAGGAGAGCAGTGGTCCCAGGGCAGTGGGACAAGGGCCGAGGGCGCCCCAGGAGGGAGCACAGGGGAGGGAGGGGCATCCCCCTTAGCCTGGGGGTCCAGAGAAGGGGGGATCTTGAGCTGAACCTTGGAAAGTGGGAGGGAGAAAGCCAGGGAGTAAGTCAGCTGGAAAAGCACATACAAAGGCTGGAGGGCAGGAGGGAACTGGCAGGTGGTGGGCACGTACCGAGTGTGGGCCATGCGGTGGGGAGGCCAGAGGCGGGGAGGCCGAGCGAGGCTGCTGGAGAAACAACAGGGCTCTTGTGCAGAAAGCGAGTGCCTACCATCTACCAGGCACCGTCCATCCTGTGGTTCATCTCTCTTAATCCTCGCAGCAAGGCTGCACCGAGGTAGGCACTGCTACCATCTCTGTTGCCAAATGCGGAGCCAGGGATAGAAGTGACCCTGAGGTCACCCAGCACATGCATGTCAGGCTGGGATCCGGTCGAGCTGCCTTCGTCTCCGTGTAGCACACGGACCTGGGCTACGATAGCGCTGTGGTGACGGAGGGGGGTGTGTCGCTTCAGCTGATTGGTAAGTAGACTTGACAGGACTGGGTGACTGGTCGAAGTTCCCTGGAGGCAAAGCCGTTTCTGTTTTGTTACACTTCACCTCTTCCTGCACACGGAGCCTGGCGTGTGGTGAGCATGGCACAGACATCACTCGAATGGGTACAAGGCTGGTGACCGCAGTGTTTCCTGGGTGAATGACTACAGGGTGATGGGGCCATTCAGCACGTGTGGGGTGTTGGGTGTGCAGTGTTGGAGGTGCCTGGATGCGTGGGCTTGGCGCTCAGTGCAGGGGCCAGAGCAGAGAGGTGGGTTGGGACTTGCTGGGAGCTTCGCTGGTGATTAAAGCCACGGCAGTGAATGAGAGGGGTGGGAAGGCTGGGAGAGCCCACGAGGGAGTCTAGGCAGGAGGTGCCTGCTGATCCAGGCATCCTCAGTGCTGAGGTGGTAAGAGAAGCACCAGGTCTTAATGGAGGGACACAGGAAGAGGAGCCTGTGACAGGGAGGCTCAGGGGGCTCAGGACAGCCAGGGACAGTGGGCCAGAACCCAGAGAGGAGGGGCTCCTGAGTGGGGGAGGGAGTGGCGTGGTGCCTCACAGAGTGTGTGTGCGAGTGAGAGGGTGTGAGAGCATATATGTGTGTGAGTGTGTAGGTGTGTGTGAGTGTGAGAGTATGTGAGGGTGTGCATGTATGAAAGTTTGCAGGCGTGTGAGTGTATATGTATGTGCGAGTGAGAGGGCGTGAGAGCATATATGTGTGTGAGTGTGTAGGTATGTGTGAGTGTGAGAGTATGTGAGGGTGTGCATGTATGAAAGTTTGCAGGCGTGTGAGTGTATATGTATGTGTGAGGGAGAGGGTGTGAGAGTCTGTATGTGTGTGAGTGTGTGAGAGTGTGAGTGTGCGTGTGTATGTGTGTGGAGGGTGGAAGCCCATTACAGTGGGAGGCCTGGCAGGGAAGCAGAAGTCGAGGCAGTGGGTGCAAACCGCCTTGTGAGAAGGGTCAGGCAGGTAGCACGGGGCTGGGGTGGGGGTGGAGGGGACGGGGGCAGGGGCTACAGAGGAAGGGGAGCCCTTCTTTGTCGCAGGGGAGCGCTGGGCTGTGTGCACACGGAAGGGATGGGCTCCCTGTTTTGGAACAGGTGCTGCTGGAGTTGAGCGGAGAGCTGCTCCCCATTGCTGGCTGCAGGTCTTGGGAAAGCCCTGCTTTTTAAAACATACACACCTTGTCACCAAAAAAATACGCACAACGAATTGAGGCGATTTAAAATCAAACTATGCATAAACAGTAGGGCGGTTAGAAGCCCAGCGCCCTGAAGGGCCGGGAGCAGTGCCGGGGGAGCGCTGGGCTTCCTGGTGGCCGGGAAAGACCAGAGAATCATGGGCAGCTCGACCCCCACACTCGGTGGAAGGAGCACGTAATTCCTGCAGGAAGACGCGTTCCCTCCTCGTTCAGATGCTGCCGCGATGCTGTCAGGCCTCCTCACACACAGCATGTGCGAATGGCAGGATGGATGGGGAACTGGGCCTTGGAGGAGGGCCGGCCTGGGGTCCAGCCCAGTGACACCGGTGGTGCCTCCGGACCCAGGGACCCTGTGGGCCAGGTGCTCCCGAGGTCCAGCGGGCTGCAGCCAGGCCCCCCCGGATGTCACCACGGAGTCCCGGGCAGAGGGACAACATGAACACCAGCACCCTCTTTATTGCCGGTGCTTTAAGGGGGGGACAGTATGTGCGTCTTCTGAGGCGTCTGTGGCCGGAGTGGGCGGGCAAGCTGGGCGCAGGCCGGTTTTGGAGGCCCGTAGAACATCTGTGCCTGTTGGAAGAGCCAGAGGTGTTCTTTGTTTGTTCTTCTGGAGGTGGGGGAGCCAGGAACGGGAGAACTGGGGGTACATTTCACCCATAGAAGGAAAAAGGTGTTATGATGGGACTCAGTGCTGGGCGGGGTGGTGTGTGAGGTGGGTTTGAAGGAGAGGAGCCGGCCTCTTTCCAGCGCCTGTGGGCCGGACTTACTGACACGTGGACCCTGGGGATCCATGGAGGAGTCGGGGGCGATGGGTGGCTGGAGAGGGGCACCTGGAGAAATGCCCGGGAAGGAGGGCACTCCCTTTCCTTCTGGCCTGTCTTCCACCCGGTGTGTTCCCCCAGGGTGGGCACCACAGGAAAGGGAACTAGGGACCCCCCAGGCCTTCCTTTCCTGGTTACTTTAAGGACACAGCTGGCCTGTTGGGGTGGCAGGAGAGCCTTTCTGGGCTGACCCTGGGAATGAGGCCTCATCCTCGGGCGTCTCCTGGAATGTACCCCATGCTCCAGGGCTGCAGCGCCAGTCCTGCTTGGCCCCCTCACCCCTCTGCTCAGGGAGCTGGCCCAGCTTCTTTCTGAGGGAATCTCGGCCCAGGATTCCTGGGATCGGTCGGCCGGAGCCCACCGCAGCTGCACTATATGAGACCAAGTGTGTGACGTCAGTGCTATACGTCACAGACGCCCTGGCTGACTTAGGAGGTGCCCCTCACCATGAAGCGTTCGGGTTGGAAGAGGTCTTTGGTTGCACAAGGATGTGTCCTTGCCCGGACCCCGCGGTTATTGGAAGCACCTCCAAGTCCCCCCTTTGGACCAGCATCAGTTTGGGGTGAGCGTGGAAGCTTCCTGCTCTAGCCAGGGTCCTGGCTGGTCCTGGAGGTGCAGCCTGGGCCTCTGGCCCTTGTCTGGTTCCCACGCACGAGCTTTTGGGTCTGTGGGCTTAAGTCCAACAGAGGCTTGTTCTTTAAAAAGTCCTGATATGGAGTCTGGAAAGCCCAAGGGTCTCTTGGAATGAATCCATGGGATTTGGCTGAATTCTCTCGCCCAGCCCCCCAGTAGGCTATGGCCTTTTTTTTTGTTTTGTTTCTACTCTTAGCTGACACGCTCATCACAAGGATGGGTGTAGAGGTCCAGATCCTGTGTGTGAGTGTGTATGTGTGTGAGCGTGTGTGTATGTATGCGTGTGTATATATGTGTGTGTATGTGTGTGTGTATGGGTGTGTGAGTGCACATGTATGTGTAGTATATATGCATGTGTGAGTGTATGTGTGTGTATGTATATATGTATGTTAGTGTGTATGTGTGTGTATATGTGTGTGAGTATGCATGTGTGTGTAGTATATATTCATGTGTAAGTGTGCGTGTTTGTGTGTGTGTGTGCGGATGGGGGCTGTGGGAAAGAGGGTTCTGTGTCCTGTGAGCTGTGTTCCTCCTAGGCCTGCGTGGAAGAGGCCTCTGAAATGCCCTGCTCCTCTGGGTCTGCTGGGAGGCTATAAATAGCAGGGCTCTGGCCCAGCGCCATATCCTGACTGCAGTTTAACCTGTGGGTGCTGGGGATGTGTATAAATAGACCCAGCCTGGGGCTGCCCTGCTGCCCGCACCCCTCCGTGCAGCGGACACTGTCCTCGTCC